CTTCAGACAGGAAAGAGTAAAAAATGTAACCATCCTTTTTCAGCAAGCTACTGGGAAATATTTGAAGCCAAAATCAGAAAGTTAAAAAAAAAAAAAAGGGAGGGGGGAACCTCACAGTCCTGCAAATAGGAGATTCAAAGTAAGAGATACTACAGGGAATTTTCCAGGACACAGATGAAGAAGAAATCCCAGAAGGACAAACAGCGGAATTAGACAGAGTTCAGATAAAAGATAAAAGCAGATAAAAGATGGCAGAGAACGCCAGTGTGGTCATCTCAAATGACCACCCTCTTAGGATTGAGGGTGTAGCACAGTGTAGAGAGCCTAAGGTAAAACCAACTTTACAGAAAGGAAATAAAGTCAATGAACAATTACCACATGGTTCCTATGTGAGCAATATTATACTTAAGTAACCACAATAGCATCAACACTGAAAATGGATCTTATAAGAACTGAAAACCAGACTAGGAAGATAGGAAGGCAAAATGGAGGAGAACAAAGAGGGAGATAACGTCTCTTTAGGGCTACAACATTTCACTTTCAACAATGGATAGATCACTTAGAAAATCAGTAAGGAAACACTGGACTTGAACTACATATTCACCAAAGAGACGTAAGAGACATAGACTCAACATTCCATCCAACAGCAAATACTACACCCCACTTTCAGCAATGGACTCATCACTTAGAAAATCAATAAGGAAACACTGGACTTGAACTACACATTACCATATTCCCACTAGCTTGAACTACTAGTGGTACATAACCACCTGGCAAAAAGACATGAATTATGGCCCCAACATGAACATGCTAAACCTGACAGACTTAACAAACATATAGTTAAAGAATACTGATTCTTCTCAAGCACACAGAGAACATTTTCCAGGACAGATCATATGATGGACAACAAAAACAAGTCTTCAAATCACAGTGGCATGAAACTATAAATAAATAAAGGAGAAATTCTGGGAAAGACACAGATCTGTGTAACAACATGCTCCTGAACAAACAATATGTCACATAAGAAATAAAAAAGAAAATAGAAAAATACCTTCAGACAAACAAAGATGGGAACACAACATAGCAAAACTTACAGGATGCACCAAAAACAGTTCCAGGACGAAATGTACAGCAGTAAGTTCTCCTTTATCAGAAAGATGGATCTCAAATAAACAAGGTAACTTTATACCTGAAGGAACTAGAAAAGGAATTAAGACCTAAGCAAGCAGAAGAAAAAAAGGTAAGAGCAGAAAAAGTGAAATAGTAACTACAAGAATAGGAAAAAAATCAGTGAAAGTTTTTCTAAAAGGCAAAATAGATAAATCTTTAGCTAGACTGAGAAAAAGAGAAAACAGATAAAAGCAAAAATGAAAAAGGAGACATTTAAATTGATACCACACAAATATAAATCATCCTAACTACTATGAGTAATTTTATGCCAAAAATTTAATAACCTAGAATAAATTTCTATGCATGTACAACCTACTAAGACTAAAAAATAAAAAAAGAAAATATGAACAGATAACTTGTAAGAAAATTGAGTCAATTATAAAAAATATCAAAGAAGATCCTAGGACCTGATTATCTTCACTGCTGAGTTCTAGCAATTAGAAGAAGCAGTAAAAACCAATCCTATGCAAACTCTTCTAAAAAAACTGAAGAGAGAATATTTCCAAACTCATTTTACAAGCCGTTCAAAGACACAAGAAAACAAAACTACAGGCCAGTCTCTCTGATGAACATAGGTACTGACAAAAACCTAGAGAAGCAAATTCATTAAAAACATTAAAAGAATCATTCTACTTGATTATGTGGGACTTATTCTTAGGATGAAAAGACTGTTCAATAAACACAAATAAGTAACTGAAGTATATACCACATTAACAAAATGAAGGGTAAAAATCATATGATCACCTCAAAAGGTACAGAAAAAGCATTAGCAAAATTCAACTCTATCTCATGGTAAAAACTTTTAAAGGATTAGGCATTAATGTTAAGGGATGTACTCTACCACAATAAAAGCCATACGTGACAAATCTGTAGCTAAGATTATTCTCAATGGAGAAATGTTGAAGTCTTTTCCTCTAAGGTTAGGGACAAGGATGTTCACTCACCACTTCAATATCCTATCCAGAACAATCAGGCAAGAGAAAGAAATAAAACGCATCCTAATAGGAAAGGAGGAAGTGAAACTGTTTTTGCTGATATGATCTTTTTAGGGGAGAAGATACTAGGGATTGAACCAAGGGGCTTCCTCCCTGAGCAACATCCCTAGTAATTTTTTCAGACAGTCCCACTAAGTCACTAAATCGCCCACGGTAGGCTTGAACTTTAGATTTTCAGCCTCAGGATCCCAAGAGTGCTAAGATTATAGGTATGTGCCACCATATCCAGCTGCTGATAGATCTCACATGTGGAAAATCTTAAAAAACCCCACCAAGAAACTATTAGAACTAATTAATGAATTCAGTAAGTTGTATAAATAGTAGTTACATACACTAAGAAAAAATTATCAAAACAGGAAATTAAGAAAATCTTATTTACAATTACAACCACAAAATTACACGTACATTTGAAAAAAGTAAAAACCTCTATCCTAGAAAGTGTAAAACTGATGAAAGAAACTGAATACAAAAAAATGGAAAAATATTGTGTCTATGTATCCTATCAATATTATGAAAATATCCATATTACTCACTGATTTATAGAGCAATATAATCTTTATAAAAACTGCAATGACATTTTTAACAGAAACAGAGAAAACAATCCTTCAATTTTGTATAGAAGCACAAAACACCTTAGCCTGGGCAATTCAGTGAGATTCTTTCTTAAAATTTAAAAATTTTAAAAAAGGAGTTGGGGATGTGGCTCAGCACTCCTTGGGTTCAATATCCAATACTAAAAAAAAAAAAAAAATAAAAAAATAAAAAAACCAAACAGCTGATCTTCAACAAAAACAACAAAGCTGGTAAAATGAGTCACTAATTTCAAAACATATTATAAACCACAATCAAAACAGCACAGTAACAGCATAAAAACAGATATGCTAAGGATGGCAGTGCCTGCCTATAAAACTAGCACTCTGGAAGGCTGGGGGGCAGGAGGATCCCAAGTTTGGGCCCAGCCTGGGAACCTTCGAGTCCGTCTAAATATAGAAAACAGACTGGGAATGCAGCTCACTGTGAAGGTCCTGGGTTCAATCTCTAGTACCACAAAAACAAACCAACCAACCTACCAGATACACTGACCAATGTAACAGCCCAGAAATAAACCTATACACGTACAGTCAGATGATTTCAATAAAAGTGCCAAGAATGTACAATAAATGTTAGTCTCTTTAATAAATGCAATTGAAAAAACTGGCTATCCAGTATCCAGATGCAGGAAAAGAAAACTGGATCTTTATTTTATGCTATACATAAAAATCAAGTCCAAGCTGAGGGTAGTGCTGTATGCCTATAATCCCACCACTATGGTAGGCTGAAACAAGAAAATCCCAAATCCAAGCCCAACCTGGGCAATTTAGCAACCTGGTGAGCCCTTGTCTCGAAGTACAAACAAAAAGCACTGGGTACAGAACTCACTGTGAAGGCCCTGAATATAAAACCTGAAACCTAGATGAAAATGGGAAAAACTCTCTGACATTAGTCTAGGGAACATTTTTATGACCCCCCAAAAGCATAAGCAACAAAAGCAGAAACAAAGAGGATGGGATCAAACTAAAAATCTTCAGCAAAATAAAGGAAACAATTAACAAAATAAAGAAAAACAGGAGAAAATGTTTATATCTTATATCTGATATAAATGTTTATATCTTATATCTGATAAGAGGATAATATCCAAAATGTATACAGAAATCAACTCAGTAACAAGACAATAAGGCTATTTTAAAAATGGGCAAAACACCATAAGAGTATTTCTCAAAAGACACAGAAAACAGGTACATATGAGGGTATGGTGAGTATCACTAATCAGATAAATGTAAATTAAAACTAATGAGATAACATTTTACATGTTAGAATGGCCTTTAACAAAAACATGAAAATATCAGGAAGGATATAGTGTAAAGGGAACTCTTGCACATTATTGGTAGCAATATGAATTAGTACATTTATAACAGAAAATAGCATGCAAGTTCCTCAAAAATAAGTAACTACCATATACATCAGTAATCCCAGTTCTGGGTATATACCCAAAGGAAACGAAATCAGTGTCAAAGGGTTTGCAACTTCCATGGTCACTGCAACACCACTCATTTTAGCCAAGATAATGGAATCAATGCCAAGTGTCCACTAATAAATGAAGAAAATGTATATATGCATAATGTGATCTGATTTAACCTTGAAAAGGAAACTGTCATTTGTGACAAGATGGATAAAACTGAAGGACATTATGCTACGTCAAATAAGCCAGGCACAGAAAGATTTATATGTAGAATCTAAAGAAGTTCAGCTCTTAAAGAGTAAAACAATGGTTACCAGAGGCTGGGAATAGGGTTGAGAAGTGAGATGGAGAACAGGCAGTTGATTAAATGGTACGAAGTTTCAGACAGACAAGGAGGCATACTCTGAGATCTATTGAACAGTAGAGTGATTTATAGACAATCATAAAATATATTTCAAAATAACTAAGGAAATTTTAAGTGTCTTACTATAAAAAATAAGGTGATGGATGTGTTAATTAACTTGATGTAATCATCCACATTGTACATAGATATGAAAATGTTAAAACTGTTATTCTTTGAATTTCTAAGTTGTCAATTAAAATTATTAATTTTAAAAAAAACTCTTCTTCCATGTAGGAAACCTATAAGGATATTCAAAATTTTAAAATGACCTATTTGAGCATACTATTCATAAAGCATAAAATATAATACAGTGACCTATAAGTAGCAAGATCAGAGACAGAGGAGAGAGGGACACAGGAATGCTGTTTCTTAAAAGCCTTGTAGAACTAATTAATATTTTAAATTACTTACATGTATTATTATAACTAAAAAATTTTAAAAATTAAATTGAAGCATTTTATTGTCATTGAACAGAAACAGAATAGCATAATAAACTGTGAAAATAAGTAAACTTTTACAGCCGCAAGACCTCTTCTTTACAAATGAGCAGGTTTCAAATGACAAGACTTATTCCATTTTCACAACCTATCAGTAATCACACTGGAACTAAAACTGTACAAAATCTGTAGATGTTTGCACAATTATAAAGAATCACATACCAAAGTAGAAAAGATGAACAAAAGTTGAAAACAATAAAGTATAGGTTACATTCTACAACTTAGTATATAATCAATAGGATTTTTTAAAAAAGATCTGTAGGATAATGCTAACTTCATCTTGTACGTAACAGGAGCAATTTCAAGGTATTTAATATTGTCCTTTGATATATAAATATACGGTACTTGAAATCCCAATTTGGTATTTTCCACAGCAAACTACTCCAATCTTGTAAAATTCTAGAATAGTGACACTTAATCTGAAGTCTTGTTAAAAGATTACTTCTTGCCCAGAGATTCTGATTTAGCATGTCTGGCATGGATCTCAAGAATCTGCTTTTCTAACAATTTCCCATATCATTCTAATACTGCTGATCCAGAGAACACCCTTTGGGAACTACTGCTCTAGAACAATGTGTTCCACAAGTTATTTTATTATTCCTAAAAAGATAAATTTCAAGGAAAGGTCAAAATTTTAATAAACACTACATGCCACCATCTTAGCTTTGAGGGTTTACAGTGCCCATTAGTGATATTAAAGGCCCTAAGGAATCTTTTATAATAACTGTTTCACCTGTTTTTTCCCAGTTTTTCTTCTAATGCTTCAAAGTTTAAGAGAAATGTTGCTCTAGACATTTTTCCGTGGCTTAAAACTAAGGCTGTTAGAATAATTATAAGACACGGGATGTTCAGTGCTTAGTGCCTTAGCCTTAGTGCCTAGTCAGATATCAATTACTGTTAGCTGCTACCTTATGAAGTGGTCCACTAACTATTCTCTGCTCAAAAAAAAACTTAGCTGCTAGAACTGTTTATTATTTCTTCTTCTTTCACTTAATGAACAGGGAAATTTTGGTAAAACATATAAATACTCAGAGTTTTAATTCTAAGATAACACTCCATGTTTAAAACTAAATTTTTTTTGAGACATAGTCTCATTATGTTGTTCAGAGTGACCCTGAGCTCACTATGTAGAGCTCAGGCTGGCTGGAACATGAGATCTGCCTGAGCCTCTCAAGTCCTGGGATTATAAGTGTTCACCAATATGCCCGTCCAATCAACTAAATTAGCTGGAAGGGTGTTTTTTTTTCCTTATCTTCTTTGAGATAGTAGCCCAGGCTGGCCTCAGACTCATAGTGATCCTCCTGCCTCAGCGTCCCAAGTGCTGGAATTACAGCTCTGTGCCACCACATCTGGCTGTGAGCTATTTCATAAAAGCATGTTATTATCTGTGACAAATACAATTATAGATATACAGTATGTAACAATGCTTTTGAGTTACTATTTTAGTTTCTTAGGAGCATGAAAAGAATATTATGTACTTGATTTGCCCACTTAAACTGACTGGGTCTGCTTTTCATCTGTAAAATGGAAAGAGCCTGGACAACTCAGCAAAAAGCTATCTCAAAACTAAAAAATCAAAAAGGAGTCAGGCATGGTGCTGTGTGCCTATAATCCCAACGCTCTGGGAAGCTAAGACAGAGGATTGTAATTTTAAGCCCAGCCTAGACAACATAAAAACTTAGTGAGACTGTCTCAAAATAAAAAAATACGAAGGGCTAGGATTGTAGCTCAGTTTGAAGGCCCTAGGTTAATTCCACAGTACTGCAATAAATAAACAAACAGCAACCTAAAAACTCTAATAGGTTACATACAATCTGAATTATTGGGTCATCTGTTCTCAAATATTTGGTTCAACTGTCCCCATAAACGCTGGAAATTTGCTGAAAATTCAGTGCTCTAATTACAAATTCCAGACTATTTCCCATCTCTTAGAGTCACAGACGGCATAAAAAACCTCCTAAGCTGTTTCTTTTTTTTTTTTTTTTTTTTTTTTTTTTTTTTTTTGGTTTTTCTCCGGTACCGGGAACCGAACTCACGACCTTGCGCTTCTAAGCTGTTTCTTCATTTGCAAAATGGAACAGTATCAACAATTCCTTAGGGTTACTATATGATTACTATAAACACTGAACGAGTTCATAGGTCTAAAATGTGCTCAACAGTGCACAATATGCACTAATAATTCACGAGTGTTAATCACACTTAATTCTTCATTCTCCACTTCCCCATAAAAATGTTACCATTTGGTACAGCAGAAAACTTATGGCTATTATGCGCACACATTTCAAATCTTTTCTAAAACTCAACTTAAAAGCTGTCCACGAACCATCTCTCTCAAACTGAATGGAGATTTCCAGTCATCTCTACAAATCAGTGGGATTAACTGCTTATGCCCAGTAAAGAGCTAAGAAAATTACCTACACTACTGCTAGTTATTCAGTCTTAGCCTTTATATACTATCCTTTGTGCCTATATATGATTTACCTTTAAAAGTATGCAAACTAGAAGTATCTAAAATCAAACACCTGGTAGTACTTTTTAGAGACTTGTAAATGTTCTAGAACCCTACATTAAGTTCACTGCTTAGACTATCTTATTACAAAATTCTTCCAGCTTTTTTTTTCTCCCCAATTGTAAGTATCATTACCTAAAATTCCTAAATCCCAAGGCCATCTCAGAAGATCACATCACTTTTCATCTATTCCAACATCAGAAAGTATTAGCAGTTTATTTCTAAACCTGTCCATGGTATGAATACTCCAATATACTTCTACTTCTTTGTACCTGGAAATTTAATACCTCTGATAAAAAACTCAAAAAAATTACACTGTACTTACTGACCTAAGAACCTAAAGCCATACCATGTAATGAAACAAAATTTATATTGTAAAATACATCAAATAGAAGTTTTACTGCCATTTCTCATAAGGACCAGTAAGATGTAACCTTGGAATTTATCTTAGCCATGTGTAAAATCTGTGGCTTGTATTATTTTCTTCAGACACCACAAGTCAATTCTTTGTTTTAATTTGCTTATCAGCGCTATCCAGAGCATTTTGCTACATTTCAAAAAAACTCAGGAATCGCAGGTTTGTAAGTCCTAAATAAGGTTGTGATACAACAGAGGAATATCTAGTTAAGTGTGAAATTCCCGCTAAAACAAAGAACTGAAAATTTTTTTTAAAAAAACTTCCTTAGAAGGGATGAATAAATGGTAGGCAAAAAACTATAAACAAAAAGCTTAAATGTGTATTACAGAATGATAGAAAAAAAAGCACAAGACTGAGAGTCAAGGTGCATGCTTTTAGTGGCTCTTCCACATGTTATTTTGGGCAAACTATAATCTCTGATCTCTCTTCATCTAACCCAGGGATTAGATGAAATATTCTTGACAATCCCTGCCAAATGAAAGATATTCTAAAGTACCCCTTGATATAAAACAATACAAAAGTCCACAGAAGTGTGAAGATGTTACTACATACAATTGACACCACAGCCTAAATCTCTTTTTTTTGGTACTGAGAATCGAACTCAGGGCCTCGTGCTTGCCAGGGAAGCATTGTGCTGCTGAGCTATTTAAATCTCTTTTGAATAAAAGGTAGATTATACATTATTTTGGAAAAGTAGAAAAGATTTGGGGGTCCACTGTTTTTCTTTTTGCCTGACTTTTGAGTAGACATTGGTTAGCCTTTAGGCCACAAAATAAAGAATGAGTAACCAATATAAACTTTTATGTCACAATTTTTCTCAAAATGAGAAAACCATTTCTAAAAGAGGGCCCATAAAACATTTAAGAATCTCTCCCTGGATTTGAAAAAGATCTTTTCTAAAACATCATTATAACACTAAAATACAATTATGATTATGGTGTTGTGAATTCTCAACTATGTAGATGTGGATTACTCACTTTTTAGGTTACTCTCAGCATATTTTTAATCCAAGTTGGCTTCCTCCTGATACCCAGAGTACTTCTCAGCCACCACCTTCTACCATTAGTAAAGAATTTATCTTAATAGAAGCCTAAGTAAAACACAACCAGGAAAATAAATCTACAAAAACATTACACAGTGCATCCCAAGTAAAATGTTTAAAACATTTTAACGTTTTGGGATAATGTAACTGCAAGTAGATCAGTATAGTAAATGTTCTACTTTCACAGATGAAGTATATCTAAACTTTTTACCAAAGAACTATGCATACGTGGAAATAATCTACCTTAATAGTCTTAAGACTACATATTCTAATTAGAAACAATTCCAGTATACCCATGAATTCTAAAACCATGTACTTAAGCCATTATATATTTATTATTTGTAAAACTAATTTTATAAACACATAAAGTGTCAAATTACCTAATACGGTACATGTTTCATTACCATTGTGAGAGGGGATCTTTAAATATCAACAGTAAGTTCTGTTGGTGTAAGTCATTTTTATTTATTCTCAATTTTCTAAAGCTTCGATATCGGGCAGTATTTTTTCACTTTATATTGTAGAGGGGGAAAAAAACTGAACATATCCACCTCACTCTACTCCTAAAGATAAAGTCTCTCCCAGTACAATAGATCAACTAACTTAGATCATTATTTCTAGGCAATTCCTGCCCTTTTTTATTTCAGAGCACAACACATCACTTATACTTCCTCTAAAAAAAAAAAAAAAACTAGTTCCTTAAGATTATGATACTAAAGATGCTGGTTCTCATGAAAAAAATTTTTAACTTTTTTACTGTTTCAGTTTTTACTCTTAAGTGCCGGGCATACAGCTCAGTGGCACAAGCATCTGCCTGGCAAGTGCAAGGTCCTGAGTTCGATTCCCGGTACCAAAAAAAAAAACCGTTTTACTCTAAGGAACATCAAACTATATTTATGATTCTTTTCAACATTTCCAAATCTCACTTTTTCATGCCAAATCCATTTGGGATTCTAGGACAAAACCTGTGAATCCATACTACATATTGAAGATTAGGGAAATCTAGTATGTTTGCTAAATTTCAATTAGGATTTGGACCTAAATGCAATGTTTACAATATAAAATTTCCCATATATACTATAGATGTAGGAAGCTTATGTATATTATTCTACAAGTATAACTATGTATTTAATTAGACTTAATCACATTCCACAGATTGGATTTGGGAGTGTTTTTAAAGTGTCGAGAGTTTAATGTTTATTTTTGTAATCCAACAACTTTATCCAAAAATGCAGAAAATTTTTCTGGCTGGCCAGGAGGATAACATTTCAGTGTTGATAAGTCCATTGACTGTAACAGCCCAGGAAGCGTGCTAAAACAGAAGAAGAAAAATATTAGGTAACATGGGAGAAAATTCCATAATTCATCTGTTGTCCAGTTGATGACTACAGCTAACTTCCAAGAACACACTGATGTTTCTTAAACTGTACAGGTAAATTTTTATGTATTTTATTATAGGTGTATACACTAAAATCATTACAAAACAAAGAGTACTGTAAAATGTCAATGTGAATCCAACAGATACTTTATCTCTTAATTCAACTGAAATACTTCAGAAACGTTACTTCAGGAAAAATGTGTAATTAATGACAATGGGATGTGCAATTTGTAATACCTCTAAAAACTCGGCAGATATGACAATATGAAGCTTCTCAAACCTGGGTAGACATGACAAAATGAAACTATTACTTCAGAAATTTATTTTCACCAGCCATCTAAATTAGAACAGACATATCACCAACCGGCCTAGGCATGAGAATAAAAATGATTTGCCCAAAATGAAAATAAAACCAATTACTGATCTCAATACTTTCATATATTTAGCTTTCCTGAAATTAAAGTAATTCTAAATGAATAAACTGGAATGGATAAAATGTGGTATTTATACATAAAGGAGTACTACTCTGCCATAAAGAATAAATGAGTTGTTGTAGAAAAAATGGATGTACATTGATACCGTAATGTTAACTGAAATAAAACAGACATGCAAGCTTAAATAGCACATAGTTTCTCTTATGTGAGAAATTCAAAATAAAAATATAGAGCAAAATAAAAGACTAATAGGAAACGGAGACAGATCTTTGCATAAAGGAAGGGGACCAAGCAATAAAGGGACCAGGGGAGGGGATGAAAAAAGAATTCAGGTGTGTTATGTATATGTATCAACTCCCTATGATTAACATGGCTGTTATGTGCTGCAAACATGTACTAATAAAAAGGAAAAAATTAAAAGAATAAATTGGAGACCTGTATAGTTTCCTTTACAGCCTAAGTTAAAAGTCAGGATATGTTTGTAAAAATCAATGTTTTCCCTTTTATAATGTATAAAGTATGATAACAATGCAGCAAATGTTCACTTTTTAAAAATTTATTACACTGAAAGACATTGTCATTAATCCCTTTCAAAACATTCTCCCTACTTTGAACACTTCTATCCCATCTTAAGTTCTGGAAGGCATCTTTTGTGTCTAGTTGCACTGTCCTGGCTGCCTCAACGTCTTGAATCAATACAAAACATCTACCTTTCGTGGGCATTTTGATTTTGGCAAGGAGCCAGAAGTTGCACAGCGCCTGATTCAGATGAGAACATCCAGTAATGGTTTTATGAGCCTGCCTTTCCATTGGAAGGTATCACCGTATGTTTTTACTCACTCCTCCTAAAGACACTCAAAGAGAACTTCCAGAACTGCTTCAGAAAACAGTAAGAAGGGTGGAATTAAGTATGTTCTAAGTGAGGGGGAGTGTTTTGAAGATTAAAGGTAATGTGTCTTTGAGTGTAATACATTTTCTTTAAATAGTCTGCATGTGAAAAATATTCACCATATATTTTGATTACCCCTTGTATCACATAAAAAAAGCTAATTTAACATTTTCAGTTTTTACTCTTAAGTGCCGGGCATACAGCTCAGTGGCACAAGCATCTGCCTGGCAAGTGCAAGGTCCTGAGTTCGATTCCCGGTACCAAAAAAAAAAAAAAACGTTTTACTCTAAGGAACATCAAACTATATTTATGATTCTTGTCAACATTGAGAAAATACTCCTCAAAAGCATCTGGAAATATTGCCTTGCACATAGCAGTTAGGAAGGTGGGAATCTAATGTCAACTCCTAACAATATGAACCACCAAAGGGCAGCTATACCCATTATCTGAGGCATACATAATCTTAATTACGTAGCTTTTCTTCTGAAGTCTTCCACTACTTTACAAGATTGGCTTCTATATTATGCAGACCCCCTGACATTCCCTCTTCCATCAGTACAGAGATAAAGAGATAAAGACAACAATGATTTGATTTCTGAAACAGTAAGTGAATCTGTCTCCTCCCAATGAGTATAGGAAACTATTTTTTTTTACTGATGCATACCAGGTGCCTAGAGAAATGTTTAGCATATAATAGCTGCTGAATAAATAGCTAATGAATAAGTAAGTATTTACTGAGTGCCCAAAGAACAGAATCAGAAAAATTAAAGCTTATCATGTTCCAAATAGTTTCTTCTAAGCATTGCTAACTTAAACTCTGATTTACTATAACAGAAAACTACATATATAAAATTAATACTTCATCAGGTACTTAGTTTTTAAAACACCAAATCAGAATAGATTTTATAGTCAAACAATTAGGAATTACTGACCTGGCCCTTTGGCAAGCTTCTAGTATCTCAAAGAAGAACTAACAGAAAACAAACCAGCAATTTTCTTCATCCTTCTATTGTGATGTTGATCAGTTCTTGTTGAATTCTAATATATTTCTAGAAAATAATATTCCTTACCATAAAGTAATTCTCTGCTGAAAAGGCTCCAATGGCTTCCCATTATACATATAATCAGAATTATTACATGAGCTATCCCCTCCCAGCCTTCATACTATACTCTCCCTTGCTCACTATGCTCCTGCCACACTAACCTGACCTCTGTTTCTCAAACACACCAGACTCCAAGTTCATTCCTAACTTAGGCTTTTATAATTGCTATTCCTCTGCCTCTCAGAGCTTCCCATAACTGGCTCTTCCCTGTAATTCAGGTTCCACTTCAAAGGTCATGTGCTTTGTCAAGCCTTACCTGATGATTCTAATTAATATTTACCCCAGCTATCACATCACCCTGTCTTACTTTTTCTGTAGCATTACTCTGCTGTGTGAAACTCCACCATTAGAATGTAAGTACCACAAGAGGATGGACTATATCCCCAGCACTTAAAACAGTGCCTGCTACATTTTAGTTGCGATTGCATAAATGAGTATATTAAATTTAGAGATTCCAAAAGATTTTAAGGGAAAAACCTTAACTGAAATCAAATGCTTTTCTTGAATGCTAAAAATCTAAATAGTGAACTCAAAAAAGCAGTTTGTGTATGAACACACACATACTCACATGCTCTCACACACTCACACGCAAAGATGACCACAGTTACAGAAAAAACACAACACAGATTGAAATCAAAGTGGAAGATGAACAAATGAAAGGGTTTTATAAGGAAGAATACTAAAGTATGTTTGTTCAGTGTTAGAAGCAGCAAAAGAGACAAACTGGGTTAGGTAAGTCCGTAAGAACAGTTAGGGGGGGAACTTGGGAAAGAGGTAAAAAAACTCAGTCTCTAGTATACCTGCAGGTACAGTAGAAGAGATGCCCCTCTTTGTGTAGCTGCTTTGCCAATTCCAGCTGATGATTGTTCATCAACTTTTCATTTATAACTACCACCAGTGGCTTGCCTTTTTCCAGAGTCTCCAAACAGCTTCCTGCACCTATGTAAATAAATCGTTAATGCAATTTTTAAAAAGTGAAAGTTCTCTACCAAGCTTTATAATCATAACTCTCAGGTTGAATAAAAATCTTTCAATTATACATCCAAATGACCTAAGTACACTTATCACTATTTATAAACCTGACTTGAAAATATATATCTTAATCACTGCTGGCTATATGGCCATGACTCAATGCTAAGCTACCTGCTGGATAGTGGTATCTCTGACTGTGGCTGTGAATCCAAGTAAGATTCAAGTTCAACACATTCTACACAAAACTATACTGTCATCCACGTGTATTGTGAGGTTCTACACCCTCTTATTCAATCTATGGTGGAATGAAAATATTCAGAAAAAACTACACTTCTACTAAATATGTACACGTTTTAATCATTATAACAACAATAGTGTTTTCACTGTATTGCATACTATGAGAAATCTAGCAACAATTTAAAGTATACATAAGGATGTGTGTAGGTCACCGGCATGTATCAGGCTGTTTTTCATAAGGGATTTTGGCATCACAATTTCGTATGGTCAGGTGCCCTGCAACCAATACCCTATAGATATAAAGAGACAATTGTACTTACTTCTATTCAAACACAAGTAGAAAAAGCAAGCCTCCAACAATGACAGGCACCAATTAAAACACTCTTTATGACTCTACCTGTGAGGTACCACCCCTATGATAGTTAAGGCTGAGCTCCATAAGTATATGTGTGTGTGTGTGTGTGTGTGTGTGTGTGTGTGTGTATATACACACACACACACACACACATACACACACTACTAGCATCGATTCAATTTTTTTTTTTTTTTTTTTTTGGTTTTTCTCCGGTACCGGGAACCGAACTCACGACCTTGCGCTTGCCAGGCAGGCGCTTTTGCCGCTGAGCTAAATCCCCAGCCCCCGATTCAATTTTAAAATCAAAAGTCATCCGAACATTTTAAATGGAAATAAAGAAGCTGCTGAGTAGGTAAAACCCTTTCTTGGATATCCTGTGCTAGGATAAGTAGTTAAAAACATAGGTTGAAGCACTAGATTGTTACTGCTCACCATTTACTGGCTGAATATGTTACTTAACCTCTTAGTCTGTTTCCTCATCTCCAAAATAGATATTCTAATTATTATTTAGTTCCCGGGATTGTTTGGAAGCATTAAATCAGTTAAAACACCAAGTATTTAAGCAATACCAGAAAGTTCGGCTAGCTATTATGCTATACATTTTTAATTACCAATCTGTTGGTAATGTCTGCTTCTAAGGACTTTTCTCACCTCAAAGTAGACTTTTTAAAAAGCACGAAATATCCCCTCACACACAATGGTAAAGCTGCAATGCTTCTCAAAAGCTATTCTTCTAAAACTGCTGTAAGCTTCACTAGGTACTTGTAAACAAATTATCGTCTAGGTAGTTCTCTAAAGAATATCTGGTTGTTAAAGAATATTTTTTACTGAGTGTATTTCACATTCACACCTAACAGAAATGTAAAGAAAAAGTCTTTCAAATCCAACTTCTCTATGACCAATTACACCAATCAGCGGACTAAACATTCCTTTCAAATCTAAGTGCACGTGCTAATTTCGGACTAGAAAATGATTTTGCCCCTGCGTTTAAGGTTTGTTATTGTAAAGCTGGGCTACAGAGATGAATTCCCCACCTTTCTCTTCCCCGGTAATAAATTCTCTCCACCGAAGTTCTCAATTGTTATATTCAAGTAATTACATTCAACGAGGCTACCGCGAAATTATCCCGCGAAATACACTGATTTAATCATTTTCTTTTTACCACGAAAAAGTTCAAGTATCAGTTACTTATTGTTTGTCAAAGGCTGAACCTTGAGATTCCAAAACACTTACCTGCGTGACTAATCACAAGATCTGCTCTCTCAAGGTCTTCCCGCAAGGAATCCTTGTACCTGTACACGTCCAGAGTAAAGGAGTCTGCGCTGAACGGTTCGGGCACCACCGCGCCTCTACCAATTTGGAGAGTAAGCTGGCTGTACCCAAGGCTCCTGAAGATCTGAAACAGGAAATAAGAAAACGCGCGGGCCTTTTAAATTGGCTTCGGGAAGAAGAGCAGTCAGAAACCAACCTTCGAGTCGGTCTCCAGACCCCAGCGGCGCCGCCGCCGCCTCCGCGCGGCCAATTTCACTTTGCCAAACGAGCGCCCCGCTCCGCTCCGCTGCGCTCCCGGCCGGCCCGCCCCGGCCCACGGAGAACCTCGAGGGCCCAAAGGAATCGGAACACCCGGCTCGCGGTTGGGAAGGAGCCGGGCCCGCTTTAGAGAGCCCAAAGAGACCTCGAAACGGCGCCGCGAACTAGGGGGAACGCGGTGTGGCTCTGCCTCACGAGCGGGGCTGGGAGACGCCGCGCTCCGGGCCGCCGGGGCCGCCGGCCGCCGTCCGCAGGCGA